TTTCTGGTGGGAGGTGCATTACCAGTTAAATATTCAGTAAATTAAAAGTTTTTAATATTCACTGAATTTGAGATTAAGTTAGCATATCCAGTTACTGTTGTTTTAATATTATTTTACTATTTTCTATCATTGTGCGCATTTTCTTACTGGCATTTAAAGCACTCTGTACCAGATCTCTAGTCCTCATATTTAAAAAATGGGTTCTGAAAGGATCTCGGCAAGTTACATAGTTCACTCATCTAATCCAGTAATATGTCTTTTTCAGACTGTGTTTTATTTTAAAGACTTACTTAATACTCCAAGGCAATATATTTCAGTGAGTCACAGCCGTGTTGGGCCTGAATCTTCTTGCAATCTAAAGCTGTTACTTCTTGTCCTAAACACTATGAACACTGAAAGCATTATTCTGATTAATTTGCTCTTTGAAGCAGCCTTATTATTTAAAACGTCAGAATATCTCACTCAAGTCTCATTTGCTCTAGACTTGGAAAAATCTCTGGAATTAATTTAACATTTCTACCTCTCTTTAGGCTATGTCTTTCATAATTCTGGTCAGTCTCACTACCCTGTACTGGAATTCTACAATCTGTCTAGTGGACAGATACTTTTCTTGGAGTGTGACATCAGAAATTAGAAACATTATTTTGGTAATGCCTTATTTCTCATGAATAGAACAAAATTATCACAAACCCATTCTCAAAGATAGATAGGATGACTTTTTCATTCACTTCTTTGAGAGAAAGCTTAGTTAATATATGAGTCAGATAAATTGGCAATACCTTAGAGATTAATAAATTCTAGTAGGATAAACATCATGATAAAAAAAAAGAGGAGTATACTAAGTCTATTTGAATGACCACATATAGGACCAAGTTTTCACATCTAACTGGCATAGGTGACAAAGTCTGCAGTCTGCTCTGAATGTGCAATAAGTAATATCAAGCTTATTGTTTGGATTTTTTGTATAAAACTTACATTTTAAGCTAAGCATTAGACTTTATTTTATATTCAAGAAAAAAGAAAATATTTTGATCTCATGGTAGGTGCAAAGGGTTCTGCTGATCTAGAGAGATGAGTCAGAAGTGACTCATCACCTGTTTTTTTTGGCAAGATATTTAGAACATGGACAAATCACAAGGTTAATGCTAGGAATAATTAGAAACACTACAATCTCTCACCATTATTTAAAGGCTCTTCTGGTTTAATGTTAACGCATTTCTATTTTTCTGAAACCTCTCAGATAAACCAGAAGGCAGAATGTTTCTCCTCAGTATAAGATTTTTACTCTCTTAACTTTGGTTTCACTGATGTGAAAGCCAGATACTATCACCTCTGGTCTCTTGAAGTAAAGAAACCAAAAGATGATTCACAGGGTACAGATTCCAAAAGAATCCTTCCAGTCAAATGTTTCTGACTGTGTTGTGTCCTTTTCAAAGAGTGTCTGTAGTATCAGATAGAACCAAGTAATTGTCAATCCCTTAAATGCATTAAGCGTCTGTTAGTCAGTACCCTGATTGTATCACAACAGCATTTAAAGTCAGCCAATTTCTGAACAGATGTTCCAATCTCAGTAACAAAGGAAAACAGTTTCTTCTTTACTGGAATCACTTTCTGTAGCTTAATGATATTATTAACTATAAAAGCAATTGCTAGTTACTCTTTTTTTTTTTTTTTTTTCTAATCTTGAGTGTTGCAGGTAACCAGAAGTATTCTTTCCAGTCTAAGCCAGAAATGTCTTAGAGAAATGTGATTAATGAATGTCCAGCAAAACCACTGAGACAGAAAAGTTCTGTATCTATTAGGTAGATTCAATCGGATGTGGGGGATGTACACTATGCCAGGAGGGTCACTGCCAACTGGAAACTCAAGCACATTGGAATGTTTGTTCTATAGCAGCTTACTCCATAAGCATAATTTTCTCTTTCTTCTGAAATACAAGACTTTATTCTTTCTCATTTAGCAGAGGACAAAAGTACTAATTACTTATGGCCCTATTAAATGAAATCAGATAGGGACTAGTTTACAGATGTTCTTTTGCCAGCTTCATCTCTGAGAGTCTGCGGTATGATTCCTATAGCAAGTTCAAGGCTTCCTTCAGAAGATATTAAAAGGAAAATTATTTGCAAAAATGAAAGCAATTCATAACCTCATTTGCCTTAATACAGACATAAAGCACCATGTTGTCCACAAACACAATTCTGAAGAAAGCTGAAGAAAAAAAACCCAAAACACTCCTTTGATCATAATTTTTGTACCTCATTTTACCAATGTCATGTATTTCTTTTCCCTCATCTAATCTTTATTGGTGACAAAGAAATAAATGTTCTTAAACTTGCATTACAAGTTTAAGAAAATTTGTTATTAGTAGTATAATTTAATTTTAATTTCTATTTTCATTTTAATAATCCAAATATTCTTACCAAAGTTATCCTGTTTCCACATTCTATTGAAGACAATAAACTGGCTGGAAACAATAAACAGTGTCTCTCTTCTGAAGAAGAACCATGTGTGAGTGTATGCCATCCTTAACATCTCCTTTCTAATTCTTATCACTAAACCAACTCCATCCTTTTACTCCAAAGCATGTCTCTCAGATGGGTTCCTGATCTCACACTCATCAGTCAGTGTATGAAAACATGTTATTTTATTATATTTTTTAAAATAACTTCCACTTCTGCACCTCTCAGACCTTCTCAAATGTTTTTTGGACAAAAGGGAAAGTACTGCACTGTAAATGTTAGTACCACGAACTGGATTACCTCAAATTCCGTGTATACTTTTAGAGGAACCAGAAGCCCAGCCTCAACTATGCCTGCCAAGGAGGAAGCACCAATGTTAAAAGTGACTTCTTGTATTCTGGTAACTCCTTCTGTTGATTTACCTGCCACTGGTTGTGGCTAAAATTGAATCCAAGAACAGAAATGGTTCTATACGCAGAGCAAATCAGGTCTTGCAAAACTTTGTTAATTTGGATTTACCATAAGCAATGTTACACCAGTCGTTTCATTCTGAATCTTAGACTTACCAATCAAGTTTGTCATGGAGGAAGAATTCATGGGAAAAGGATCCATGTAGTTAGTTTTGACAAGTTCAGCACCAGATCTCCAGAGGCACGGAAGGAATTAGGTCCTTACAGAAAACTTTGTAGTGAAGTTCTGTATCCACTCTATGCATAGAAGCAAGTAATCCAACACACATTGTAAAAGGCAATGAGGTGATGGGACATTTTCGATAGGAAAGGGGCTGAAGACTTTACTTAAACCTGAGAACATTATCCATAAAAAGTATACACTGCACAAGTCCATGGGTCCTGATGAAATCCATCCGTGGGTCCTGAAGCCGCTGGCCATATTTGAGAAATCATGGCAGTCAGTTGAAGCTCCCAATGACTGGAAAAAGGGAAATATAACCCCCATGTTCAAGAAGGGGAAAATGGGTGACCCAGGGAACTACAGACCAGTCAGTCTCACCTCTGTGCCTGGCAAAATCTTGGAGCAGGTTCTCCTGGAAGGCATGCTAAGGCACATGAAAAACAACAAGGTGCTTGGTGACAGCCAGCATGGCTTCACTAAGGGGAAATCCTGCCTGACCAATTTGGTGGCCTTCTATGATGGGGCTACAGAACTGATGGACAGGGGTAGAGCAGTTGATGTCATCTACCTGGACTTGTGCAAAGCGTTTGACACTGTTCCACACGACATCCTTGTCTCTAAATTGGAGAGACATCAATTTGATGGATGGACCACTCGGTGGATGAAGAACTGGCTGGATGGCCACACGCAAAGAGTTGTGGTCAATGGCTCAATGTCCAGCTGGAGACCAGTAACGAGTGGTGTCCCTCAGGGATCAGTGTTGGGACCAGTCTTGTTCAACATCTTTGTCGCTGACATGGACAGTGGGATTGAGTGCGCCCTCAGCAAGTTTGCCAATGACACCAAGCTGTGTGGTTCAGTTGATACGCTGGAGGGAAGGAATGCCATCCAGAGGGACCTTGACATGCTTGTGAGGTGGGCTGATGCCAACCTCGTGAAGCTTAACCGTGCCAAGTGCAAGGGTCCTACACCTGGGTCGGAGGAATCCCAGGCACAGCTACAGGTTGGGCAGAGAAGAGATTCAGAGCAGCCCTGTGGAGAAGGACTTGGGGTGTTGTTTGATGAGAAACTGAACATGAGCCGGCTTCAGTGTGCGCTCACAGCCCAGAAAGCCAACCGTATCCTGGGCTGCATCAAAAGGAGTGTGACCAGCAGGTCAAAGGAGGTGATCCTGCCCCTCTACTCTGCTCTTGTGAGACTTCACTTGGAGTATTGTGTGCAGTTCTGGTGTCCTCAACATAAAAAGGACATGGAACTGTTGGAACAAGTGCAGAGGAGGGCCACGAGGATGATCAGGGGACTGGAGCACCTCCCGTATGAAGATAGGCTGAGAAAGTTGGGGCTGTTCAGCCTGGAGAAGAGAAGGCTGTGTTGAGACCTCATAGCAGCCTTCCAGTATCTGAAGGGGGCCTATAGGGATGCTGGGGAGGGACTCTTCATTAGAGACTGTAGCGATAGGACAAGGGGTAATGGGTTCAAACTTAAACAGGGGAAGTTTAGATTGGATATAAGGAGGAAATTCTTTCCTGTTAGGGTGGTGAGGCACTGGAATGGGTTGCCCAGGGAGGTTGTGAACGCTCCATCCCTGGCAGTATTCAAGACCAGGTTGGATGAGGCCTTGGGTGACATGGTTTAGTGTGAGGTGTCCCTGGCCATGGGTTGGGACTAGATGAAACTAGTTGGAACTATTGTATGATTCTATATCTACTGTAGCAGCAGAAACTTCAGAGCAGGCTAATTCATCATACTTCAGAAAAAAAAAAAAGTATTGCCTTAGAAAGTATTTTAGGTGTGTTTTGCATACTTTTCTGTGCTCCTTAGCATTCCTTGGTAGCTGTGAATTGATGTGTGATCACAGATGTAGATTGGTTGTAATATCTCATTGGGTTGTTACCAGAATAAGTGATATGCCTTATATGGAGATGTATTATTGTTGACAACAGCTCAGCCAACATTCAATTGACCTTCCATTATTATTTCTGAACAAGTAAGACACCTTTAGCTACTGTTACATCCACTTCTGCAAACATGCTCTGAACCAACCTTTGATAACATTTGTACATTCTTTTCTACTTGCTCGTAGAGTACCAATTAGTTATATATTCTGTATACAGAAATAAATATTTTAAGGTGGATTCTGAATACATTAATAATTAAATGTATCTTTGAAGCAAGGTATTGTAACTTGAAAATATCTAACTGGAAATATGTATCAGCACTACATTTTATTAAATAAACACTGAGTTTTGCTACTTTTTTCTGAATTTTAAAATTGCTTCAGTATTTCTAAAGAGTTTAAGGAAACTCTGAGATAAAAAAGTTGCTGGCAAAGTTGTCACCAGATATAAATGCTGCCAATGCTTTGGTAATAGATAAAATGTTATTTTTACCTTCTTATTTTTTCTTTGTATTAGTTTTAAATATTCATTTTTAAAAGGAAACTAAATGGAAAACTGTTATGTAGAATAATATAGCAGTAACTTCAGACAAGCTCATTTGCATCTTTTTTCAGTTAAAGTAGAATGAAACTAAACAGTTATAAAGTGAATTTTTTTATACACAAACACAAAATCTACACACAAAATGCTGACAAAACAGCATACTGAAACAAGCATAATTTCTGTAGACTTCAAATTATCTGTGAGGAAAATATACGAACAAGATAAGTAAAATACAAGTGAATGATCAGTAAGTGCCAGCTTCAGTAGTGCAACATTTTATTAATGACAGAAATACCTGTTTTTTAACACTGCTTATGTTACAAAAAATGCAGTGATAGTAATAATGGCAGCAAAGGGGGATTTGGCACTGAATATATAAAATAGCAAAAGCACATCTCAGTGGTCTTCTAAATGGATGAACAAAAAGCTTATTAGTAGAAAATAATAATAATAAAAAAAGAATTCCTTTCAGTTATTTAAACTGGCCAATCAAAGAGCAAAATAAAAATTTGTTTGTGTAACATAGTGCAATACAATTTACACAAGGTTTTCTTAGGATTGTTATCTTTTTTTCAAGTCCACTGTTTTAAATGTAAACACAAATATGCTAAGTTTAGGAATTGCATTTGTTTCTATTCATTTCGACTGCACAACCTATAAAAGTTCAGTACTAAAAGGTGCACTTTTAAAACTAGTTTAGTTTGTAACTTGCTTGCATACCTGTAGCCAAATTTATGCCTTTTTTTCTTATTATTTAGACTACAATGGTAGTGATTCTAAAAATACATGTGTGGAATGTCTAAGTTTTATTTAAAAACTCAACAATCTAAAATTTAATATAAGACAGTGATGTTTATCTTACTATTAGGCTTTACATGCAGTTTTCACCAACTGCTTTCCATTTGAAAGCAATATAATGCAGGGCACATTAAAATACACTAGCCATTTTGAAACAGTAGTTTATCTTTCTTTTTTTTTTTTAAAGTTTAATTCTCCTAAAGTTTTACATATAAAGAGTAAATGAAATACAATCTTATTTCCCTAAAATTTAATACCGGAAATTGGTGCAAGGTAAAAATCTACAATGTGGTTGACTTGTTTTTAAACAGGAACCTGAGTAAGGGCAGGAAATATAGCATTAGACTTAAAGAATAAAATTCCTTAATAATTTAAGTAGCAGAAAAGGTTTTTAATGTTCTACCACAAAACAACAAGGCAACAGATGATAACGGCCTTGTATTTGACGAATTATCATGAACACCCACTGCAAACCTTAATATTTTCTGCAAAAATAAAACATCAGGTTATGCACAATAATAAAAAGCATCAGAAATAGATGCACCTGGATTATTATTGTTTTTTTAAACCACAAATGTCAGAACTCAGCATTTATGTCACAGTCATTGAACAGGTGCTGAGGTGACTACATTAAGCACACTACTGCACTAAGTAGACACCCCACAACAGGCTTGCACTGCAATGATAACATAGTTTTCTTAGAGGCACAGACTTTTTCTCATTTATGTTCAAAACCAACATGAAATAAACAACTCAAGACAATATTAGGATTCATCCTAAATTTCCTTGTTAGCGAAAAGTTCTTGCCACTTTGGTAACAGAAGTCACTGAATGCTTTTAAAAATTGCAGGTACCTCAAGAAAAATGAGTTCCATATTCAGCAAGGCAGCATTTTATCAGGATATTTTATACCAACTAAGGCATAAAGAACTTTGCATCAGGGTATACAATACTCAATCTTTGAATAAAGTTTCATATTCTGTGTGGCAAAAGTGCATAGGAGTGGGATTCCACTAGAGTAGAAAGAATCCTCTCACAGTATTAAGGCCTTTCAAATTTTATGTGAAATGTGTCAGGCTAAAGTCAGCACAGTGGAAAAAAAAATAGACTATCATCATACTGGACACCACTGAAGATTTCTTAGCATGTCTTGTCTTCTAGTTGTCGCTCATCATCTTCATCAGCTTCCTCAATAACCTGAATTTCATCTGCTTGAGGTAAAGGTGAGATCTCACTCAGCAGTTTAGCTCCTTCAGCTTTTATTTTTTCTTCCTCTTCAACCATTTTCTTCCATATTTTGTGATTTTCACTGAGATGATGTATTAGCTGGCAAAACACTCGTCTACCTTTTTTTCTTTGAACTTCTGTAAAATTATAAGCATATTTGATTGTTTGAGATTCACAGTAATTGTATTTAACACACAAAAAACCAATGGCACATTTTAACACATGGATGCTTATTCAGAATATTTAAATAGTAACAGGGCGAAGGATAACAATGAGGTTTTTTTCAAATTTCATGTCTCCTGGTATTAATAAAATTTTATTAAAAAACTTATTAAAAATTACAATATTTGTACTGTACAATTTCAAGCATCTTTGCTATGTTTGAATCTATTAAATGACAACCATAGGCACCAACTGAAGTACAGAAACTTACTGAAAATAAGATCATGTTCCATTTCTTCATCATCACTGTCCAACTGTGCTCCATCATCATCTTCAGTACTTTCTTCATCGTCCTCTTCATCAACCCATTGGCCTGGAAGCAATCCAGCTGCATCATAGGAATTACAAAGGGGGCCAACTATGTGAGTGATGAAAGATTCTTGCAGTTTTGCAAGCTGTGGAGAAGAACGATCCATGAAGGGGCTTATAGGTAATCCAAGACTTGCTTCTTCATCACCCTGAAAAAAGAAGTGAAAAAAAATGATCAGAACTTCTCATAAAATTAGCTTTAAATGTTTATTTGAAAGATTGCTTTTAAGGAACCAAGTAACCATCAAATGGATTGTATCTTTTTACTAGATACAATAATAGTATAGACTAAGTGAATGAAAATGTAATTAGGCCAATTTAAAATAAAGACACACTATGGTTCAAACTTGCATAGCCCATAACCCTCCCTTCAGCTTTGCTGCGAGGTATTCTTCTGCATAGATGGAGACCTAGTTCTACTGGAGCTGCTATTCCTCTGCCTTTATAGGACAGCTTCAGGGTAGGCAGAGATTTTCAATTGCTGAGCTAATGAACACAGAAAATGAGAAAGCAATCAGTAGAGTAAGGCATTGTAGTAAATGGCTTCCCCCAAAAGTCACAGAAGAATGAAATGAACTGTAACATCTAAAATAAATTGTTTGGTTTACGTTTTTTTCCCATTTTATAAATTGGAGAAGAAAATATTGAACAGTTGCTCATACACAACTCTGAGTTATAATCCCTTACACTTCTGTGGACCTGAGAGTTTTACAAAAAAGTTTTTCTTAAAGGAGCAACTTAGAATACTACAGTCTTACAGTAAGCGTAAACACTTCTGATTATTATTGCTATTGCTTAAATCTCCCAAGTGATTTTGTTGTTCACTTTTATCTTCCTTGTTTGAAAAAAAATATTTTTCAATCCTTGCTTTTTTGCCTCATGAATAGTTAACTCCTCAGAAAGTTGACTATGGGAAAATGACAGAGTGAAAACATAAAATATATTTAGGGGGCTTACAGAAATTGTAAAAGTAAAAATAGGCAATGAATTCTCAGACTTTTTCCCAGTTAATCTTGATAGAATTATTTACCAAAGTTCCACTGTAAAGTTCTTGCCTACATTTTAATACTATTAGTTACTAATGTGCATTTTTAATATTTAATTTTTAAAGTTTTGAAATATTTTCTGTCTTTGCACTGTGTTAGCCGAATATACATTTCCAGTCTTGTGGATACTATACGTATTGTTTCACCTAGAGACATACCAGTTAACTTCCCAATGTAGAAGTTATTTTGGTTTATCAACATCATCCCACAAAAAAAAAAAAAAAAAAGAAAATAAACTGATATGTGAAAAATGGACAACATTGGCACAGAGCTTGTTTGCAAGCTTCTAACACAACTGATAGCAAGTAAAAGGTCATATTCATACACTATCTATAAGAAAAAGTTTTCAGTATTCAGAAAGAGAAGACAGAAATACCTTACCTTCAGATTTAACACAAGGAATGTTTGGTTTAGTTCTATATTAGGTAATGCCAAGAACTGTCATTAAAAAAAAGAGTAAATTGCACTTTCCATACCCACCTGTTCATAAAATTCATTAACAATGCCTTCTGTCCATTTCAGATGCAGCTCTCTGTCTTTTGCTGGGCCATTAATATCTGCCAGTTTAATGCATATTTGACAGGCCAGTAGGCGATCATTTTCATTGCTCCATTCTATTCCATGACTGTTGATATCATTGACCTGGATTGAGAAAATACATTTTTAATAAGTTAAAACAACAGACACTTGCATTATTTTTTCTATATAATTTTTTATCTTATACAGTAGAAAAAACAAACCAAAATCAAAACTAACACAAGAAGAACCACCAAAAAACAACCACCCAAAAAGCCCTCATAAAAAAAAAACCATAAAAGCCCAAACTAATTTACTATCTCTCAGAAGATGGAAGTGAGAGGTATGATCAATGTCTCCTGGGGGTTCCTATGTCACATCTTCTAGGCTTATTAAGCAATTTACAAACTACAATTGGTTTGTACAAAGGAAATACTTTATTTGCATTTTTTTAGTAACTTAAACTTAAATAATATAAAACTTTAAATGCAAGTCATTAATATTAATAACTACTGATTAGCAAATCTAAAATCAGTATATTGTGACCAGCTCAGTGCAGACACTAAAATGTAACAAACCTTGGCATTAAATTCTGCGAGGAAATCAAAATGCTTCTTGAGATCTGTGGCAAGGATTGCTTCAATCACTAAGAAACGAAAGTGCTTGAATTCTACATGATCAAGATTTGATAAAAAGTTGTATTCTGGTCGTGATAAGAAAAGATTCCAGGCAGAAGCAGCGTGGTGATTTTCTAAGACTGATCTGTCATTGTAGAGAACAGCCTACAAAAAAAAAAAAAAAAATACAAACCCAAGAGAGTCATAAATGACAGACTAAAGATTTAAAATTATAATAAATATGCCAAAGCTTAAGAGCTAGTCAGAAATTAGTCTTTAATTTGAAAAAAAAAAAGAAAACAAGCATTGGCAATGATGTCTTGCCTTCTAGTTTTGAGAGTTAAGATGAAAGAAAAATGGCAGATGAGGATAAAAAAGAACAATGAAACTATACAATTAGTGAAGTTTTTTTCTTTCCTGAGAAGTCCTTAATGATATCCTAGTGACGTCTACATTCATACTGCAAATACACATAAACAAACCACTTAAAATATAAACCTTGCACTCTTGGCAGGATTAGGGGAGCACACACCCTGACATTTATAAAAAAAACCTCAAATCAAACCTAAACCTGAGATCTAAGTATATGCTTTTAATTCTTCTTAATTCCAGTATCATAAAAAAAAAAAACAAAAAAAACAACCAAAACCAAACCCAAACCAAAACACATGAACTCCAAAGCATATAAGTACTGTGGTTAATAGGAAATGGTGTGAAGAATCACTAGTTTTCAATGTGCTACATTTAATGCTGATGAATACATTTTAACTGTGAGTTAACTAAAATATTAAAACAGTAGGTTTTACTCACAACTCCCATGTTTACACAAAACATCCTAGAAAATAATTAATTTAATATAGATTACATAGGACCTGAAAAAGTTACTTGGAAAATGGCAAAATAATCTTTATGTTTTGAGGAAAGGAAGACGTCATTAACAAAATGAATGTATTTCTGAAAATCAGAGATGAATGTCTGTGTTGTTTGTTGTTTGGTTTTATTCTTTGTTGTGTCCGTTTTCAACAGAAATATATAACTGCTAAATCCTAAACGGCTTTTTTTTTTTTTTTTTTTTTTTTTGCAATGGGCAGTTGATGAAAACTGAATGAAAAGTTCACTTTTAAAGTCTCCATCTCCTGGCAAGCTGTACTGGTTTCTGGTTTACTATTGTGGTGTTGTTATTAAGTTTTCTGTCTCTAGTTTATTGAGAGATCTGAACAGCCATTCTTCCCCAGATACTATTCCACTCTTTAGATAAGACTATCTCACCATGCAGTTTAGGCATCTTTTCTGCAGTGCTTTTCCTTCCTTCCAATAATTCCCTGCCCCCCCCCTTTTTTTTTTTTATCTGCTATTTTGTTTAGCTTTATCCTGTTTTACCTCTTGTCTTAGGCTTTTAGAAGCTGAAGAGCACAGTATCTCCCGTCTTTCTACTCTCTGTTCTAACAACAAAGTCGAATAAGGGAGATAAAAACAAGGATGCCTTGCTTATTTCTTCTTATTTCACTCACCCTCCCTTAAAGGTAATGCTTATTTACATTTTTACAGTAATTGCAGACACCACTATGATTTCAGAGGACTCCCAAAATGTAAGGTATTAATGAATTAGCTGCTTAGACAGTCCTCGGGCCAGCTCTCTACGAGATAAACTTTCACTCTAACCTTCATTGCTTTATATTATTTTCAATTTTGCAAATTTAAAATTATTTTCACACACATACAAAACCAATATGGAATTTATCAGGCCAAAAAAAAAAAAAATAAAAAAAAATAGAAGTACTGTACAAGTTAAATACAAATTACTTTCCCCATTTATTAAATTGGCCAAATGATCCTGAACAGGCTACAGAAGGGATATAGAAGAGAAATCATCATTAGTGTAATTTCAGATACAGACAAGTAATTTTCTGGTTAAAGAATTTCTTACCTGAGGTGCGTTTGTAGCTACTAGAAAAGCATTTGTACGACCAGGATGATCATAATCGTGCATGGCAGCTGCTACATATAAAGCCATCAATTCCAAAGCAGGAATATTTGATGCCAGACAACCATAACTATCATCAGCAATAAAACAACTTTTTGAAGAAATGTAGCTGACTTGAACAGGAGAAGTACCACTAGCTTCATCTAGAAAATTTAAAATACAAAAAAAATAAAGTTTTTTTTTTTAATATTATTTCATTCATATTTTTATAACATTTTATATGACTCAGCTAGATAACTATCCTGAACATAATCTTAATACAGTTATCCTTGTAACTGTGGAGCTGAATAAGTGGCAAAGAAAAACTTGTACCTAAAAAAGAAAAGTCACACTCTTTTTTTATGGATAAACTGCCAATTCTGAAGAAGTTGAAATGCCAGTAAATCATAAATTCATCATAGCCACACAGGCTGTACAAAAGAGGAGGGCGGGCAGCCTTACAAATACATAAAAATCTTCAGCTATTTCATGACATTAGACGAGGAGGGCAAAATCCTACAGGATGTTGTGGAGCCTGTAAGAAGTGTCCCAAAACTGGAAAGTGAAATGTGGCTGTTCTGAAACCAGTTCTTTACCTAGCACGGCATAAAGATGCACCTTGGGATCAATTTTTTGGACAAGAATTTGCATTACAATGCTGACAGATAACTATCATTCACACAAATAAAGGAGACTTTCAGAAGAGCTTTGAACAGTCATAATCAGGGAAAAGAAGTATTTTTAATACACCACAGTCAGAGCTCACTCTTGCCATGCAACTTTAGAAAAAGAAATAGACTTTACAATTCTGGCAATATTGTATTGTGGGGCACAAATCCAAGCTCCCTGCCCTCATCAAAAGAGGAGAGGAGAGGAAGGGAGAAAAATTCATGTTGGTCCTTGAAACTCCATGGTGCCTTAGAAGACATAAACCAGATGAAGTCACTCTCTTTGCAGTTACAGTTCACTCCATGATGCACAAGGCTGGTTCAGAGGAATGTTTCAGCAAGCACAGAAGGTAAACTAGTGGAGCAAGTGATACTGCCATCTAGTCTGTGCCTCTTAACTGCAGTAGAGTTGTCATTTAGATTAGAGAGCAACCATAATAATCTAAGCTTTTAATTATTAATATGCACTTGTAGGTATTTGTGCCATGGGAGGGAATGAAGAGGAGAAAATCTAGCAAAAATGTACATCTCAGAATCCAAATTACACATCTTGGGAAATCCACATGGATACAAATGGCTCCACATTACTGTTAAGGTCTATCACTTTTTTACTTTCCCCTTACTGTCATGATGTTAAAGACCTCCTGCTGTTATGTAGAACTGGAATTTCATTGCCTTCTTAAAAATGACAGCACTAAAAGTGAATTCTACAATTTCTCTCCAGTCTCAGGCCAATAAAGGATCTAGCAGCATCTCCTGTAGTATTTCTATAATTTGCCCATTTCTTGAACTGCAGACCTATAAGAAAACCTCGGGGAACAGTGGAAACTACTGCAAAAGGAACTAAACCCTTTAAGTTAGAAATATGTGCATGATAAGGAGATTCACAGTTTTATTCTAGTCTTCTTCCAGACAAAATCACTGCTTAAAAAAAAAAGGGAAAGAAAAAACAATAGTGCTTATTTAGTCACTGCATAACAAAAGGAGGCCCTTTCGCCTTAATAGAATAAGCGAGGATTAAAAATCCTAGTAACACTGACACTGGAAGAGTTCCAAAACAATAAGAATATATTTTAATGTACCTTTTTTTTTTGTAAAAGAAAAAAAAATTATTTTTATCATTTTTCTTTCCTCAAGTCAAGTCTCCAGTCCCAACCCTTTTAGAACACTCAAAGGAAGAAAATGTAATAGGGTGCAATCAGTGGGTATTGATAAACATAGAAAACAGAGAAAAGTGACAGCAGAGGGGGCTAATTAGCAAGGGAAAAAAAACCATATAGTGTGCGATGTTCTGTACAGTTCACAAATTACTTCTTAAAATTACAGACCCATCTTGTCTTTTTTTACTGCACATATAAATCAGAGTTCTTAGAGAATGCTTGATTTCCCCGTATTATTTTGATTAAATACATAGATTTGAATATAAAAGTGTATATATAGAATTATTCTACTTTACTTACAGTATACATTTTAGTAGAAACTACAAACCTAAGCTTAAAAATTAATTCCATGAAATCACAGACAACAGAAAAGTAAGCTTCATTAGAACTAATCTCATGCCAAAGTTGAAATCCTTATTTCTCTTTAAGGGGTGTTATTGTTAGGGTAATCATTTAAATGTCTGCATGTGATACCTAATACAGGATTCTGAAATACTCATTTTTACACTAAAACCATTAAGCAGAACTTAAATTACATACTTTGACCTCGGTATTTTTTCTTTGGTCTACTTAATTTTCTAATTGAGAAATATTAGTCTAATGTATTTCAAATACCAAAAATATGCTGACTGTAGAAATATACAGGAGTTTCATTCAGCACAGAAAATTTAAGTGAGCCTGTATTCTTGTCTGGCAAACTCAACATTACTCATCTAATAATTTATCTAAAAATCTACTGCATGGTATTTCTGAATGGTGCATACTAACACTGTGATATTTCTATTGCCTTATATTAAAATACAAAGCAATAAAAATTTAGAGTTATGAGACTAATTAGATATTTTCTTCCAGAGCAATTTGTTTTACCTATTATAGTTTCATTAAAATATTCTTATAGCAAAAAAAAAAACCATAGCCCAACCTATGTGAATACATACCCATATTACTTTCCATTATATGCTCATTAGGAATTTGCTGGAAGCCAGGAATAGGCCGTGTTGTCAGATACCATACTGCATGAAGAACATCTGTTGCATGTATGCGATTATGATCTGAAAATTATCAAAATATAATCAAAAATATTATCTGAAATATAATCAAGAGGATCAAAAAGGGAAAACAAAAGAAAAATAAATTCAAAACAAAACCAAACCCAGAAAAACAGACAAACAAGAAAACAAACAAACAAAAAAAAAACCAACCCAAAAAACAGAAAACAAAACAAAACAAAACTGCAAAGTACCAAATAAGGGAGATTTCGATTAAATATAAAGGAAAAGTTGAATTTAAATTGTTACTGGGGGCTGTATCAGCAAATGTTTAAGAAACAAGCTAGATAACCATCAAACATCCTCTAAGCATACTTCACATCCTTCCTAAGGGTCAGGAAGGGATTAAGTAGCCTTTTAAATCAGCGATTGTGAGCCACTAGCATTGCTTCTAATCTAATACCTACAAGCACATGGTATGAACATCTATGACATGGGAGCTGGAGGGTCAAGGGAAGGTGGAGGGAGGTTTTTTGTTTCATTTCCCAATAAATTTGTCTGCCCCAAACAGCAAGATGAATAATTATGGTCAAAATTCTCTATTTTCTTGTTATTCTATTATAGGCCTAAACCAAATTTCTATTAAATCAGCAATTCACTCACCGAGTTCAGTATGTTTGATTCAACTACCCATTCAAATTCAACCTATATATTAACAAGTTCAGGTATTAAGTCTACCAAATTTTTTGTTGCAATTCACTAATCAATTCTAAATTCTGAAAAATTAATTAAAAATATATTAAGTTCATATATTGTCTATCTCTGTATTAAACATCAAAATAATAGACACATGAAAGGAGACACAAATATAAATGAAAAAATTATATAATTGGATAGTACTTACAGGGAATATCTCGGTAGCCATTTTCTAGTGCACGGAAGTAATTCATGAATTCTTGAGTTGGGATTTTGAAAATTTCAAACAAACCAGTGTCTTGAAATAAGGTGTAAGTTACCTAAATATATATTAAAGTGAAGTTTAGTTTGAAAAATATACCTAAGCATAGTCTGCTTTTTCAAGTTTCAAAACGTTCCTGTATTTAAAATTTTCCGTGCTGATAAGAGTCGGAAATTACTGACATTCCATTAAAGATTATTTGAAGCTATTATTAAAGAGATACGTTTAATGATTTTTTAATCACCCTTGCATACACAGAATAATAAGTTTTACTTTATTGGTAAATTCTAAGCACAATTGATCATTTTTAATAAAATTCTCCTAAATTTGCATAATACTCATACTTTATTCCATTAGTGACCTAAAAAAAGCAAAATCTAAATTCTTACTTATTAAAAACCTGAAATTACCAGAGAGCAAAAGAGAAGACATCCCTCCTTCCACCTGTCTCAACCATCCCCCTTACACGTACCGAATCTGAGAACCTTACAACTGATGAAAACATAGGTTTTAATTGCCTCTTGACTAAGATATGTATCAGATGCTTACAAAGCACAATAAACAAAGGGACTGGGACAGGAGGAAGAGGATGTTGCAGAATGACTCTAAGAGCAGGACCATAGAGCCCTGGAGGACTGTGCGAGCAAGGCAGGGGGTGGCCCCCACAGGTAACTGGAAACCGGACCTGGGAGGAGAATGTGGAGGAAGCTGTGTGGGGCTAACTAATACTGTTGTGCCAAGGAGGAGTGGCTGAATACCACTCCTATATATATGTGAACTGCGTCACAAATAAACTAGAAGTTTGCTTATCACCCATATTGGGTTGGCCTGTCTGCTTCTCCTCGCCGCTTACAAGAGGACAAGTAGTACATATATATATAACATCAGGAAGAACTGATACAGAAATACTGGTAGAATTAAGTAGAAACCTGCACACTGAAGTGCTTACAGGTTTGAAATATGCCCTATATTACACAAATTAAAGGCAAGCTAATATGAATCACAGAGTAGTAGTATACTACAGTAAAAACACCATTCAGAATTGGATTGTCACATTCTAGTCTGCATATTAACAGTTGTCACCAACATGATGAAAGACCTGCAAGCATTTGAGCAAACAAGGTTAACTGAAGATTTAAAACAACACCCAGAATATAGTATAGTATGAAATAAAAAAACAGTGTCCAATGACAAAATATTGTCTAATGACAATATTAGCCCCATTATTTTTACCTTTCTTCAGTATAGGTGCAGGCCTATGGCTCCAACTGGACCCGAGTGCTTCTAACCTGCTTAATTCCCTCCCATCAATTGTTCTCAACACTACCCTTGAACAAAGTAACATGCATTCTACTCCAGGGAAGAAACCTAAGATACTGGCAATAAAAATATTTTGTGGTCAGATCAGAAGCAAATCCAGCTCACACTATGATTGTTAAATGTCCATGATTGCTAAATCCACTACAAAGAAAGACACAGAAGCTTCCAGATGACATTGATGAATGGGAGAGGTTGGGGAAGAGCAAACAGGATTATACTTTTGCACCTGCCAATGGATTTGCTTCAGCACAACATGAAACTGCATGAAAAAAACTTAATAGTAAGTCAGAAAGAGATAAAAGGGGTTACTACATGCAGAAAGCAGCATGGGAAAAAAAAATCCCATTGTTTGTCTGATCAAGAGGCAAAAGACTGCCTAAAGGATCACTTCTCTTCCCCCACAGGTGTAGCGTTGGGAGAAATACTTTACCAAAATAAAGAAAAAAGAAATGGTTGACAAACACAGTACTAATTCTGAAAGCAGGATACATTTTTTCATAGGAAATGGCATATTACTACAAAACCCAGTAAGTGTGAATCTAACCTATTTTTACATTGAGAATAAAATTCAGAAAATTTGGAGCAAGTTGTCTGGAGATCAATCACTTTCTATGGTTTACAATGAGATGGAGTACATGAGAAATGACATCTGCACTTTTTAAGTTAATATTCATATATATTGACCACAAAATTTTTTCACAGTTTAAATAAAATATGATAGCCTGACAAGCTTTACACACCCTCCCACGTATAATAAAAGACAACAAACCTGGCTAAGGATCCTTCCAGACTGGGCTCCCAGTTCTTGTACAAGGTCAAAAATTTGGAAATTCCAGTTGCTCATTTTCTCCATTAGTGAATCATGGTCTAATAACATTAGTTCTAATGCAGGACTCTGATCCACCTGTGTGAAAGTAAGGTACTTCATCATCCCTAAAATAGCAATGAAAACTAATCTTTCAGTTTTATTGGCAAAAAAAGCCATGAAAACGGTAAATCATTACTGAACTTATTGAATAGTGTTGTAACTATCACTATGAGAACATAATAAATCAGTAGTACAAATACCACAGTTAGGGCTTGACTTTTCATATTTTGAGGCAACAGATTCCATGGCTCTTTGAGACAGCGCTATACTTTCATTCTTACTCCTTTTTTAAACAAAATGAGTTAATAAACCAAAGAAAAAATATGCATAGGCTTACAAAACATTTACTGAGGTTTAGCAGCTCATTAATTAAACAAGCTTTAAAAAACACATCTATAAATCTAGAATGTTAGTAAAGCTTAAACCATTCATCTCCCTGTACTTCCAATGTACTGCAATGTGTGAATGTTAATTTATAAGTCTCACTGAAACTGCCACATCTTTCATAAATTTCCAAGAGAAAATACTAGTCAGTGAGTGTTTGAGCATTCTATCAACACTACATCTACAAAAATTGGTTTTGATCAACAAAAAAAAATAATACAATCACCATCGTTCTTGTCATTTGGAAATAGAGTTTATGCAAGCTGGTACACAGCTTGTTAAATGAAAATTTGAATTCAAACGATGCACCATTTCCCCTCAGAAATTACAATTCTTAGCAATGCAATGACTTCTTTACAGCATGTTAGAAGTAATAAAGGAATACTCTGTTGATAAAAGTTATTGCAAGGTTTTTTTGCAATTACATGCTTACAAGCAGATTATTTTGTGTTTGATCGATCATTTCCTTCGTTTCAACTTTTTTCTTCTCTGTATGGTGGAAAGATTCTTTTGAAACACTAGCACTTCCAATTTCACCTTAAAGAAAATACATACATAAATACTACATCAATAATTTATTTGTAAATTACTACTGTCTAGTAATTCCTGAGCTGATCATACAGATTATTCACAGAAATATCTGTAATAGCTTTTTTAAGTACTTTTTAAGTTTTCTAAAACAAAAAGTTGCAAAAGACAAAATCTATTAGCCAAAACCTATTTGAAGATTGAGAAAAGCTAGAGGCATAATTTTTTACTTGCAAAAATTTGTTCAATGATTAGGTTAGCTGAGATGGCAGAGAACTTGTCTGATATATGGAGTACAGAACCACAACATTGTGACTAGAAGCCTGTTATAAAATCCTTACTATGAAGCAGGCAATATTTTAAATTATCTTAATCATCCTAAGTCACAAACTAATATAGAATATATGCATATAAGTTACTTAGGGTATAGGAAAATAAAAATGTGTAGAAATATAAAAATTTTAATTTCATTGACTTTTTAAGAAAAACAAAATGCAAACTGATATCAAATATTTGTCTATTTTGAAAACTCACCTGATTTCCTGTCTTTATACTCTGCAAATTCCGGTTCTGGCGTTGGGACAGGCTTGAATATCTGACGTCCACAGCTTACAGAATACATGAAAAATATTTACATTGAGTAATTTTTCTTTTGCTACAGCTCTGTTGTACTGAAAAATACCTGTAAATTTCTTTAAAAGACATGCTTTTGAAGGTTCCTCTGTAAAATTACCTTAGTATTTTTTCCTAAATTGGGCACATACAGGTTAAGCCTGTAATTAGAAAATAGTCAAGCAACACCCCTCATGGACTCATCTCACTGAATTAATAAAGTAGAGCTAATTATTTAGAAAGCATTCAGAAATACAGCATACAATTCCCAGGTAGGAAGTCCTCCTTTTCTAAAAGTTTGTAAAATATTGTTACTCTATAATATCTGCTGCCTTTGAGGATGAGCTATTTGAAATAAGTGGCATACATACAGCATTCTTTAGTCCCCTCTTGTCCCCTGGACAATATAGTTTCAGATTATTATGAAATCTTTTTTTTTTTTCCCCTGGTATACCAGTAGCTGTATAAATCTTGTTCTATTTTTCATTTTAATTGTATTATTTTCAACACACATGAAGTTACTAAAAATGTAACAATTTACAGTACCTGCTACACATATAACCTACAGATGTTTTAACTTGCTGCTGAAAATCTGGAGAACTAAATGTGTATCCTGGAGGCTTATGTATATTAATGCTTGGTTTTGTAAGAAAATCAGCAGTATCAGGAAATTCTACAGGTGACCAGCAGCTGAAAGCCCCACTGGAAACAGATCCATGACTAGGTGAACCCACAGGACTCGGGCCAGAAGATGCACCTTCCAAAACAAACATTGCATGGCGTTCAGATTACAGTAAAAACATTGCTGCTTAGAAAGACTGAAATTAAACAACAAAAACCTTATATGTTGTAAAGAATGTGCAAGCTGTCAAGACACAGTCTCTAGTTCTCACTGTCAAACACATACTAAATACCTAAATCTATTCCAAGTTTTGAGATCTACAACTATGTAGCAGTCTAGACTACACGCTTGAATGAACAAACTATGTAATGTATTATAACATCTGGATTTCAAAGGTTTGATTTTGGTTTTAGATTTGGCAAAATTAATCAGTAGCTAAATCTTCCCATATTCCTTTCTGATTCAGGACAGATTTTTTAAATTTAAAAAAAAAAAAAAACAAACAAAAATCATCAAAATCAATTCTGTATTTATAACTGATCTAGCTAAAACTCTTTTACTTATATTTTTCAATAGAGAAAATTGAGACCTTTTTAAAAACAAAGTAAAAACCCCAGAATGGGTAATTACAGATAAATAACAAAAGCAAACACACTTTCATCAAAAAGAATGAAGTGCCCATGAGGAAGAAGAGTATTGCTATTAGATAAGGAATGCATAGATAATACACTTCATAGGCTACACTGACTTGACTCACACATCCTGATAGTAGTATATAATTGCATTTTCTTACAGTAAATGACAAGATTTTTCAAAGTTCTCATTGCTAGGTATAGAGATAGAAGTTTTAGAAAGCAAATGTCACTTCATTACTGCAAAGAAAGACTAGAAAGTTGAGAAGAAATCTGTAAATTCCCTTCCAGAACTTAATCAGATTAATACTCTAATGTTGGTTACTTAATTTCATCCATTTTACATGTACAAATTCAGCAGGTTTTAATGCATAACATTACACTTTATTGCCCACAAGATTAAGTGGAAAAAAAGCAGAAAGCAGCTCAGCTTTTATGAAGACAGAAACATTAAGAATATGCAACACTGTGTTTAAATGCAGATCTGGCCTGAGTTCGTACACTTCCTGGTATTTAGGAGACTGAAAGGGAAACAACCAAACCATCAGTAAGTAATACAAAGAAAACTGGTCAGGTTTGGGGTTTTTAAAAAACAACAACAACAACAAAAATTAGAAGTGCATTCTCCTCACTCAATCCAATCTGCTTATTTAAACTTTTATAAAACAAAATTATTATACAGGTTTATTTTTAATCATGGTAAAATGGATAGGCAGAGATGTCAAAAGAATTATCAAGTTTTCACTGGCAAACAGACCAGTTATAATTTCTGAAATACTGATATACATATTATTTTAGCACTACTGCTACGGTATTTACTAGCTTATTACACTGACAGAATAAATTCTATGCCAAATCCTTCCACAATTTTTATATTCACCTCAGATGACTATCAGGTCTTTAGGAGTGTCTTACCTGATCGTCTGGGACCTATATGATGAGCCAGTGCCATGGAAGATAATCTTTGTTTTGGTATTGTCAGCATATTTGCACCAAAAGATCCATTTGAATGAGATCCTTGGCTGAAAGTAAAACAGAGTGTTGTTTTTTTTTTCCTACCTTGTTTTCAACTTTTATTAAATAAAATGCTTATAGAATAGCCAGACTGCTCTGTTACAGGCCTACTACCATTCAAGAAAAAGAGAGTACAGAAAGAAGTAAAATTGAAGATCAGCTAGAGAATATATGTCAATTATAGGGAATAAAAACTGTTGGGTACTGAGTAAAGTTAAGAGAAAACTTTATACAGTCCTAAAATGACACAGTATATTTGGACAACGTGCCATAGGTTTTACTGTCTAACATGGTTTCCTTGAACAATATAACAAAGCAGGTTATTTTCTAACAGATTTGAGAACATTTAAGATTGATTACTTCGGAAATGCTATGACAATCTTACACAGCCATGGCTTGGCTTTTTGACTCAATTTCTCATATTTAATAATTTTATTTATTATAATCTTTAAAGCTGGTTTTGACCAAAGGCATACAGTACTTCAGTAGCTAAATCGTTAAACTCTGTTAAATTATGCCATCTGCTGTTCTAGCCATGAAATTGCACTCCAAAATTTCAATTATGTATTTCCTTTAGTAAAAAAATATGTAATATGCGATTAAAAATAACTGTATGCATGTATTCTAAACTACAAATATTTTATGTAAAACTAATTCTTTCATTTTGGTGTGGGAAAACAGTATTTACCAAAACAGATTTAACCTTGTTTGATCAGATTTCAAACAAAAGTCAAATACGGAAATAATACTTGATCTCCCATCATTTGTTTAAATATCCTAATATACAGAAATTAGTTAAGTAATAAACATAGATTTATTCTTCTGAAGACTGATGATTCTGATGTGTTAGTCAACTTTAAAAAATGTTTGGGTTGACAACTGGGAGAGATTGAACTTTTTGCTATTTGTACACTGTTTAGCTATCAGAGCTTGCATGTACTCTTTTAACACACATAAAAATGCTGCAACAGTGTTTAGTGTAGGAAGACTATATATTAAGCAAGGTTAGTTCATCTTGAACTAGTGTTTGAACAAGAAACCAGATCAAGAATTTGCATGCAAATACAACAGCAGCTTTCAAGAGTGTCTTTTGAGCACTGTCTGGAGATATAAAAAATTAAAAATCTCCAAGACTTTTTGTAGCAATATTAATTTTTTATTCCATTATTTAATATCTTATCTTTCTCAGCTAGAAATCAGTTGAAATCAGTCATTAAAAGTAAAAATATTTTGACTTTTTATAAGCTTTCCTATTAGTGAACAGTTTGCTGTTTTACTCTCGCTTTTTACTATTAGCCTGCTGCTTTTTGTTTCTCTTCTAACATTCATTAAATCCTTCACTGGACTGAATCAGCTTCCCAAGTCAGGAAAAACTGTCTTTTTATTGCTGTTATTTTTCTCCCAAATTAAGGCTCTGACTCAAGAGCCAGAGCCAATGGCACTGAGTGCTCTAGGAATGCAGGACTTCATTTTTGGCAGCAGGAAGAGCTATGACAGTTTGGCTATTTTATTTCACCTTACCTGTAAGGTAAGCATCCATGGCAGATTTTTGAGTTGATTACGTGTTAGAAGTTAAAGGGAACCTGGTAAGAACTATCACTGTGAGATGCAAGGAGATGGGGGCAGTGCAAGTGTTGGCAAGTACTCCAAAGGGCAGGACACAAATCACAAAAAAGGCAAATGCATATTCTAGGGCTCTATGGACGTGACAGGAGCAGGGAAAGGGAACATGGCTAACTAGAAGTACTGGTCATCAGGGTCAACAGATAATTTAAAAGTAATGGAGTATGAGCAAGGTTGTTTTCTGTATTGCTACTTTCATCAGGTGAGCCTGAGTAGGTTCTTCAGAAGCTGCAAGGAAACTCTCCGCAAACATGCACTGCATCTGCACCAGCAGTGCTGAGCCTCAAACTGACATCCAGCAGTCTGTTTAAAGCAGTTTCTCTGGCTGGTTATTTCTCGTGGCTATAACTGGGGAGGTTCTTTCAAACACTGGTAATCAAATCAGCATGAAAATACAATCTTTAAACTACTACTACTGTTACTAACTAGTATCTTCAATTATATTTTACACACAAAATTAAGTTTTGCTATGTTAAAACTTGAACAGCATATTTTAGCAAGAGGAAAAAGCTATTGGCAAGGGCTATATTATTTAAATGGTTCACTTCAAAATTAAACAATATACTGATATAATAAATTCTTGGATGTGTGTTTATGGACTTTTATCCACTGCTAGTATCAGTTATCAGCATAAGACATTTTCTTTTAAAGAATGCCCTTATGACCTATGTAAAACCATTAAAATCTTAAGAAATACCAAGTGTATTAAAAAAAAAAGAAAAGGCAGGAAACCCACACACATTTTAACGTATTTAAGCTGCAACACAATTTCAAACATCTGTTGGACTTTTCTTAGTTGATATTAAGCAAAGCCATACACATTTACACATTTGAATAAAACTAAATATGTGACATTCCACTCATAAGCCACATTAAACAAGAAAGAAAAAATGTACTATTATTTTAATCCTAATTTAACATGTAATCTTAATTCTGGAAAGAAAGACTATTTGCACCATACTGACTAATAAGTAGAGAAGAGATGATTCTCTTAATCTACTTTACTGCTTGATTGATGACCATAGGAATAACAAATGTTGCAATACACACAACAGTGGCTACTAAATGAGAGAAAGTTATGTCATCTTTTTTAATAAAAAAAAATTCTTTTTAGTTTCTTTTTAAACTAAAAATATGTTATAAAGGAAAGAAATTTTGCAGCATGTGGAAGCTGGAAAGAGATAAAATTTTAAGTAAAAAGGAAAAGAAGGAAGTCCATAAAGGTTTAGAAGTTAAACAAGTCTGTTTTGCAACCGTGTATGTTGAGCTTTTTTTTTTCTTTTTTCTCATTTCCTACTAAAACTGATAGGCATGCCATTCAACCTCAGAATGACCTGATTTCTACTTGAGATCAGAGCTACAAAGTATGTTATATAATTAACTTGAAACATTTTTCCAGTTTATTCTGGCAGAATTTGGAGACTTGATTTATAAGATTTTACACTAAACACTTCTGCTACCATGTTCCAACCTTGCAGACATGAACATTTCAGAAAGGCTGCATTTATTATTGTCCTTAAAATATGGTTAAGTGCTTACCTTAATGTGTTATATTCCTGATGAGATCTCTTGCTGTTACTTCGTTCCCATCTAGATGTTGATTCCACAGATGGAATACCAGAAACTCCTGAAGTTCGTCTCAGCGGTGGTGTTGGCAGGCTATTTCTGCTATTTAATCCCTGTTGAATAATTTAACTATGATTAAAATCTATGTAATTAAAAGCAGACATTAAAATTTTATTTATGGTTTGTGAAGACTATTGGAATTTTTTATAGTGAAACAATAAGTACGGTATCTCACACTTACTCATTGCTCAAGAAAATAAAATAGATGCAAAGTATTTTGCATACTAGGAATAATTATTTTTCATATCTGTTTTTTTCTTTCCCCAGATTAAAATATGTAAAGATACTTGTGATCCAAATTCCATGTGGTCCAACAATTACTCTTCAGATTTTTTAAAAATGGAAACCTTCTAGAGACAGTTGCAGTAGGATTATGGATTACTTTTCTACATATCACAATCACACGGCTATATAGTCAGCTCTCAAGATAGTATCTCAGTTATCAAAATCTCAGGCTAAATACTGACAGTGCAAATATTGTGGAGCTTCTGGAAAGGACGAGGCACAATGCACAGATTCAGTTCTAGTCCATCAAGGCTCCCTCTCTGCTTCCATACCACCCCCACACCACCCAGAAACCTTCCCAGGCAACTCACCACTCCCAGCCTGGACACTGTGTTAGTTTAGGCACACTGCAGCCCAGGCACTGGGAGTCATCATTGTACTTGAACACAAAGACCTCTGCAAAGCAGGACAGCGTACTCAAACAGCCCTTTATGGAAATAACTCAGGACTTACTAGCTCTGCTTTACTGAAATACCCTCAGAAAAGTATATCCATGTTTAAATAACAACTGATAGAACCTAACTAATAGAAAGGACAGGATCACTGAACTGAAACTGAAAAGTCAGCTCTGGCATATCTGCACTCCTTGCACAGATACTGTATTTTAAACAAATCTATTTAAAAAAAAAAAAAAAGAAAAAATCATCTCTAACTGCATTCAATGCACAATCCACTTGCTAACACATTACTAGATTTGGCACTCAGCGGAGGGAGGGGGGATGTGTGCAGGAGGGAAGATTCTTCCGCATGGCATAGACCTGAGTAAAAAGGATGGCAGGAAAAAAAAAAAAGTTTAAAACAAAAATCCAGAGCAATATTTGTAGTTTTGGGTAAGGTCTGCAGGGTTGTCTGTAAGGACAAGTGACCCTTGGATACTACCATTTCAAAAGTCTGGCAAGAAATAACTTTGCAATTTTAAGCTTCTTCTGATGCTCAAAAAATCACACTTACCTCACAAAGCTCTCACATATTAAAAAAAAATGAAGGCGTTGACACAAAAGAATACAGCCTCTTAGCCTGAAAAATGAGACTGCTTTGGGTCCTTGATATGGGACGTACCTCTGCTTTGCTGCAAAGCTGTAGTCACATCCAGTAAGGTGGAAGTAGACAGGCAGAATAAGACCACCATACCACCCACAGAAACATGCAGCAGTCCTTAACCAGCCCTACCAGAAAGAGAACTGGAGGAGCCTGTTCTGTTTGCTATCATATAGTGGTGGAGCTTTAAGGCTAGAATGAACTTCAGCAGACCATATCAATCTCACCTGCGCGCTCTACAACAGCTGAAAATCCCCAACACTGGAGGAGAAATGTTCGCTCCCTGAAACAAGTGCACTCATTAACATCGTGTATGGAAAGAAGGCCCCAACACCTGTACTTATTTTTTCTTCTTCCTGGCTACTCCAGGAATGACGGAACAGAGAGGATATGACAAAACTCCCCTACTAGATAAAGAAGCAGAGAATAAACAAAATGTGAGTAGCAAAGGACTAAGGAACTCCAGATTGCTCTGTGCTAGCAAAGTCACTGGTAATCACTATACAAAGAGGAAAAATTGCTCTGGAAACAAAATCTAAACTGTGCCAGAAATCAAAGTTATTATGAAAAGAATTTCAGTTACCAGCAATAGCAAGGCCAGGAGACAAGGGGTGTGGATACTCAAGTGTTTGCTTAGACAACTTTTGTTTGCCTGAAATATGAAAACTGTTAACATCATGTCTGTTGATAACACCAGAAATCCAACAATCTGGCAAGTATACTGTCATACACTAGAAAATCTGGGGACAGATCTGTCATGATGGAAGTGAAAAGTCTTTCTATTGCAGAGGAGTTCTGAGATAGTTTTTCATGCAACCAAGATTTCCTTTTTCTTTTTAGGAATTTAAATGGACAGATCAGTGAATAGCACCAAAAGGGCAGTTTGCACTTACCAAGAAATTCAAAGCAAAGAGTTATTATCAGACTACCAGTTATTGCTTCAGTTTCTTTCTTTTCTTTGCCTCTTTTTTTCTTTTTTTTTTTTCCTCTTTATCATCAGAAGTAAAAACAAAAAAACCCAAACCATACTTGAATTCACTTTGGAAGCCAGTCAGAGAAGAGGAACAACAGTATACATATGAACCTCAGCAAAGAAACAACTTCTTTGAAATATGGAGACTTTTTCTATTCCAAGTCAGGGAAAGAGAGAATGAGAAACTTTCAATACAGTCTGAGAAGTTCCATTTCGAAAAATACTTTCTGTGGTGTATTATAATCTGGAGTTTACCCCTAAACTTACATCAAAGTCAAACATTCAATGAATGACAGTGACAAGCATGATTTTATCCATCTGGTAGACTAATATAAAAAATAAACAAACCCCCCAATCTTAAAGAAAGAGTTCCTTTCAAGAAGGAGGAAAAGAGAATAGCTGTGAAAAAGAATGTAATCTTTCAATCTCACATAATCTTTATGACCAGTATTCAGCAATGAATATTTTTCAGTTTAAACAATTCTGACTAGCTGGGTAGAATTAATTTAAATAGTTAGTTAGATTTTCACATTCACATAAATGACATTTTTCGCATTCGTATACCAATCCTTAGCAGTAAAGAAAAACGTATGCTGAATGATTATGATGCCTACCTAACTGATCTCTGCAGATATCCATGTGAAATTCCAAGTAATTTCATGCTGCAATAACCCTACAGGATCTTCCACAAAATGACCTGTAGACACTGAGCTTTTCCCTAAAAGCCTTTGTTGTGACAATGGTTCTCAACAGGTATTTCACAGGATGAATCTGGCTCAAAGCAGTTATCTGGCTCCAAAATAGCAAGCGAGTTTGGGACAAGCTGCCCACTGTCTGGATATGGAAGCAACTACAGGGCAGGCATCTCCCAGACCACCCTCCAAACAGTTTCATACTGCTGATACTGGGTTTACTCTAGCAAGTAATTCTAGGTCAGGTACACTGCAACTAAGTTCCTATAGATGAATATTTTTCCACCACATTCTTCAAGATGTCATATAGTAACTACATTCTTGCTTTCACTCATGGAGCAGTGACAGTAGATTTACACACCAGTCCCATAATGGGATGTGCTGCACAGAAAGAAGAGTTATTTCTCCTTTTACATAGCTGATTTGCTTCTGTCTGATGGCTAGTTTGATGCTCACAAAGGTAAATTTATTTGGAAAAAAGGCCAATGAAAAAGCCACACTGACAGTAATTGCTTGATCAAGAACGTGGAGGAATAAAGGAGAGCCCTGTTTGTGCCATATCATGAGAATATAACATCTTCATTTTATTTTTTGTTTTTAGCTTTTTTTAATCCTGTGTTTATTTTGAGGAATCATACATCAGCGTGTAGGCCAGTGCTTTTACCTGTCTATCCATCAACCCCTTAAATTTGCATTTTGGTACCTGTCTACATTCCACTCAATGTGTTTTCACAGCTGCTCTCTTTTGACCTCAAACAAAGTTCACAGGTACTCAGTAAAGAAGGTACTATCCAATTCTTTCCAAATTAATTTTCCTTCTTTTTTTTTTTTTTTTTTTTTTTAATTGCAACACAGACATGAATGGGAATTAAAGTCATTTGACCTTGAGCAGCTTTTGATCTTTTTCGGCAGGATCCTCTATTTCAGGGCAGGGGAAGAAACCAGGAAATGGTGTGAATGGACTAGCCTTTGGCCTGCATGTGCCTGAGAAAGCACCAATCAAGCTATTAATGCTTCGAAGGGAAGAAATCACTTGTGGTGGAAGGGATGGGTCAGTCAGGAGGTCTGTTAGCATGCTCCGAGCCTCATTTAGTACTGAAAGATCAACTCCATTTCCACTGCCAGCATTCTAGAATAGATGGAAATGTTGCAAACTATTAACATGTCAAAACATTTCACAGTATTCTAAGTTTTAAATAAGCATCTTATCCATTGCAAAAGTAAAATATAAATTAAAAAAATAATGTAATGTACTTTTCTTTTGAAGAAAATATATACCTATACACATGTTTACACACCATTTTTGTGGGGGTTTCCCACACAATAATATTTCAGAATGCAATATTAGCTTTCAGTTTATTTTTCTCCATTGAAGATAAAGATTTGGTGCCAGTTTTTTTGACTTACATTTTCATTAATTTCTTTCAGAATTAAACTTAGTATTCTATCTCTTTCAATAATATCAAAAGAAATTTTGGTGGCCTAACTGTTATAGGCCTCTTACAGAGGTGCAATTTCCACAGCTTCATTACTTTTATTAACTCTATTCTAATGAAACAAATCCTAACAATTCTGTAAAAAAAAGTGATTAGTTTGTATTTGGTATAATTCTCTGAACTTGAACAGCATTAGCTGATTAGATAGAAGGTACAAGAGAGAGGGGGAGAAACAAGCAATCAAGAAAAAAGGTGAGAATCTGACAGACCTGCACTTGGTGACATTGTTGGGAAATCACTCCCTAACTTTATGCTATCGGATATTTCAAAAAACCCACTCCCACCTTAGTTAGGTTTGACACTGTTCTCATATACACCACAGAAAGAAGACCCTTGACAACTTGGTCAGAACTGGTAAATATCAAGCCTCTCTTACATAGAGCTAGAATGTACTAGGCCAACTTAGTTAAACAAAACATCAACAGAAAAAAATTTGAAACGTGACAGTTTACAATGAACTCTGTACTCAATCATATACTGACCTGGTAACAGGGCTTGTACCACTGCTTCAAATCCCAATCCCAAAGTATCATCTGCAAAGATTAAAAAAAAAAAAAAAAAGATGATTAATAGGTGATATGGTAATGCTGTAAACCAACAATGGAATACATCTGGATTATGTCATGCAGCAGAAAACACTTCTCTCCACATATAACTTAGGCCATCTTCTCAGTTAATGCTACCCCAGTAAAAGTCCTAAAGAGTCTGAAGAAACTGCATACAACAGAGACATCTTAATGACAGAATTATTATATGGCCTTATTTATTTCACTATTTCTGGAATGTTTATAAATCATGTAACATGTTCATTAAATTAGGTGGTGACAGTGCTTTCCTGCTTCTATTCACCTCAACATATAGAAGCAAATCTATCTCAAAACCTCCAGTATATTTAATAAATATTTTTCTTTCCAGAACCATTCAAATAGTAGCAATTTTACAAATGCAGTGCAGAAAGAATTACATTAACATAATTTGGTATTTTAAAAGGCAAAAAGCTCCCCAGGTTAAAACCTAATAATTTTAAAAGCATTTTCTTGCAGGAGGTTGTTAGGTTTTGCTTGAATATGGTTACAAATCTACATGTTCTCAATAACTTCACAAAACCCATCAAACCCACAAAAGGACGTCAGCAACACAATCTGAAGATACTATCAGCTTCAAGTACATCAACAGCACTAACTTTATTTCAGTTCTGCACTGACAAAAAATAAAAACAACATGCCAGAAATAAAATTCAGTTGCCTGTTTTGCTTCAAAAGTATTCAGTATTCCTAATTTGACAGGTTCTTATTATTCTCTGATAAATGAACGCATTTGCACAACATGTATTCAAAATTAAACAAATATAAAGATAACCTTTTTTTTTCCCCTCTTTTCCATAACTACAGAGCATGAATAATGTGCCAATATCCCACTTGGCAGTTTATATTCTTAAGTCCTGTATGTTTTTCTGCTTATTTTTACAGGTAAGAGCTATGTTTGGTTTTGTTTCTTCCAGATTAACAGCATCTTCATGGACAAAACATAGTGTTCCAGACTGTCACCTTCTTACCTGCAGAAGGTGCAGAGTGTCAATAAACAAACACAGGCTGACATGTCAGCAGTAGCCAGGCAAAGGCAGATTTTATAGGCTCTTTTTCTCTTCTGCTATCTTCATAGAGATACCATTAAACTGTGTTTAAAGTTAATAGTTATGACTTGCTATGAAAAGTGAAGAGATCCACCATTAAGTACATGCTTAAACTAGGAGTAAGATAGGCTATGTCAGAAAGTCATATTGTGCACAGCAAGCAGCTCAAGAATTAATAATATAAGAATTTGAGTCTTTGGGTTTGTTTTTTTTTAAGTGATTAGAACTTTCATCTCATTTTTTTATAGTTTTTTTAATTGATATTTTTTAAACCTTAAGCATGAGGTGACTGTTACACAGTCAGTGACAAGCATTAAGATGATGATCACCATTAGCTGGCCATACTCATGTTGCATGATTCATTTGGTTTTAGCATGATCATTGTAAAGACAAAGGTTTTTTTTTCTCCTGTAATAAACTAGAATTAGTTGTCCATCTGGGCATTTTTGTTTGTTTGCTTGTTTCTTCATTCCCAGGTATCTCTTTCCAGATTGACATTTATTTACTGTATCAAACATATGAAAATCTTTTGGTTTCATTCTGTCTTCCCTAGCTTGGATGCTGAGACTGCATTAATTTGCTTCATTGACTTTTGTCTTAACTAGCAATGGAGATCAGATGTCCATGTGAGTTTTGTTACTTGTATCAGCAACCTTTGAAACTGATGGTCCACAAAATCACGTCAGCTTGCTTGCAATTTTGCAGGCTATCATTAGGTGACACAAAGGAGGTCTCCCTCTTCTGATATTCTATTTTTTAATTTAAATACTTGGTTAAGTTAGCTAATTTTATCTGTTTGTTGTATATAAGAACATAATAAAATACCTATATTCTTGCTAACTCCAGAATATTTCTCTACAAAACTTTAAACAACTGCTTTTACTGATACAATCTCCTTTATTCATTCTTGAAGCTTTTGTGTACATGTGTGTTCACACACACATGCTCACATAAGGTACACTGTTATAATTTTGGGGCCAATCTATACGGCTAAACAAGTTCAAAACTTTCTTTTGTCTTTAGCCCTGCTATTGTAAAAAAATAATCTCAAAGTTGCCGAGGCACCAAATGTTTAACGGAAAGTGCCACTGCTGCATCTAGTGTCCCATACCAACCTAGTATATACAAGGTAAAATACTGTGCACAGCTCATGCAAAAATCTACTTCCAATGCAAATAATGATTTGATATTTTAAATGGTAGGGCACTATTTTATACAATTTTAATTAAAAAAATTCACAGGTTGGATTCATGATTGAAAATTTTCTGTTGTCATTTAAACCAGAATATTTAAGCTTCTCTGCTGATACCAATTTTACAGCAAAGAAACTAAAATAGTTTTAAAATAAAGAAAACTTAAGTTTACCTGTATGGTGCCAAGAGTATTTTTTGGGTTTGGGGTTTTGTTTTTTGTTTTGTTTGTGTTTTTTTTTTTTTAATTCACTCTACATCACCATTAATTTGAAGTCATATCCCCTGAAAGAAGACAGGGGTAGTATATTAACACAGCTGGCAGGCTACCACAGTCTATATTAGCTGTACAATGTTCAGAGCTCATTCCATGTGCCACACACAGAAGTGGTCAAAATAAGCTGATGAAAACTTTAGGCACAAAGTAGCAATCTCTTCTACTAAACAAAAATGAAAAAAAATGCAGATCACTATACAATGAATATTTTCCCATGGTAAATACAACTCAGTACTTCTCTACCCTAATCAAATCATTACTTACAGGTTAATAACGAAAAGGGGGTTATTACCTTGCCTTAGCTGCTGGCAACACACCACAAGATGGCACTCAAGTCCAGAGAGCGTCCCCCACAAAAACAGTTTCGGGAGAAAGAAACAGAAACCAGCAGCATATCCCTTAGCAGAACTTCTGCAGAATTGAAACGGTTTGAGGGATGGGGGATGTGTGGGGTGTGTGTGACAGTTTTAAAGGTTAAGAGCTGGTAAATTCTGCTTCTTTACAAAAACTTCTTTGTTTAAAGAATTTACTCTCTACCATGCTATTCAGAAACTAACTGTAAAGAAACCATACTTTGTTTTTCGCTACTAAACAGACTTAGTTTCATTAGCCTAACTTCATGCCTTACAAGTTAAATCTGGAATACTAAAAAAGCAGCATTTTTGGCATTATTTTTGTTAAGAGTTTGGCAAAGCCTTAATTAATTCTGGTGGATCATTAACAAAAGAAGTATTCCTAGAGTTGCATGAATGTTGCAACAGGAGTAAAAAGGACACAGTTTACTTTTAGTGTGAATAGACCAACAGACCTTAAAATAGGTCTTAGGCAGAGCCTTGGCAATTTTTGATTTTGCAACCATAAAAGTTGTTGCAGAAAGATCTGTAGTCTGTAACACTAAGATTTTGTAATCCACTGCACATAACGTTCTTCCTCGCCTCCTCCAACAAGAAACACCTGATCTAGGAGGGAACTGAGTCACAGAAGTTTCAAGCTACAGCTTAAATCTCTGCTTAGCAACTCAAACACTTTTAAGCATCCATTGTCAGTGCTAACATCACAGCAATTACACATCTGGGAAGTACTCTGAAAATAAAACTGCAGTGGGCTCTGATACTGCAGATGAAAGGTGAAAAGTGTATAGCCCTCTGCATAAGCACATATACCAAATTACCAGTCAGTTTGGAGGAAAAGTCCTCTTGTCAGCCTGACTCTAACCCTAGAGTCTCCCAGTCCATTCAAAGAGCAATGATCACACTTTCGTGATTTTTTTATGATAAGAATTTTGGAGGACAATTAATGAAAACCAAACCCAAACCCCATGCATAACACAGAGCTATGCCTTGCTGTTTAACAGTCAGGAACCGTTAATGTTTATGCTTAACTACAATAATCGAACCTTTTTAGCCTATGAAATAAATTTCAACATAGTTAAAAGAAGACAAGCCAGCTTATGAAAACCCTTTCAGTGTAAGTCACATTTTGTGATTTGGCCGCAGTCAGGCAGTGATAGGTTTAGTTCAAACTGAAACATGTCACTCAAAACAGGCAACGAGTATCAACAGAAGGAATTTACATTACTGGAAATACATTTTTTTAAAGGCTTTAAAAGCTGTTAAAGCTCAACAAATCCTCCAGAGGGTTGCTATTCTGAAGAATGACAGTTCTATGGGTGGTTAGTCAAATCTAAGATTTTTAAATACATATAACTTACTGGGAATATGCAGAAAAATTGACAATAGACATCAGATATTACCTTTTGTTTATATTTTCTCAATCAATGAAAACAGTATTTCCATATACTCCAGAGGCATTGCCATGCAATTTGAACTTGAGGATTTTAGAATCAACTTCTCTGACACTATTTGTAATGCATCTATTCACTGGGGAGGAGGGGGCAGGAGAGGTGAGAGGAGTAGAAGAGGCGAAGGCCCTGATTGTTGAATCAACCCAAGAATTACCAAAACTTGAGGCTAGCACACATTGTCAGCAACATCAGAAAAATTTGTTTAGAAAATACACAAGGTAACAGTAATAAAGGTCTTCCCTAATATAATACACCTTATAGATCAGACAGCAACAAGAACAAACAATAATTACTTCTACAAAGAAAAAGGAAAAAAGTGCTCCTGAGAACTTTATAGACTTAATAAACTAAAACCAGATGAGAAAGAGGAGAAGACAGTCAGTGAAAACCAGCTTGGTTTTTAATGATTTTTCTTAACAATGTTATCTTTCCTATGATGGTGCAACCAGTATTTTCCAGGGCCTGTAAAAATGTGCCTTTCAGAAGTGAGTTGATGCCATGGAGGGTGAAGTTCTTTTGGATCTTCTTTGTGCGAGTGCCATAGCTCCATTTGGCTAAAGTCACACTGAGTAGTATTTTCAACTTCTAAAGGTTTGAATGCAATAAAAGCCTATAGGGTTTAATTTTCT